CATAAATTTTCCACATAATTAATTAAAAATAACATGATTATTTACGTGTATTAAATATTTCACAAAGCTCCACAAATTATAAAAAATTGTTATCTTAGTAAACTTGTCTCCCATATTTTTGGCACTTGCACTGTCAATTTTGGCATGAAAGTTTGGCAAGTCGCATGCCTTTCCAACAACATCCAAAATTGCACGGGTCCTTTTCAGTGACCCAACCAATTTGTTGTTCTCCTGCCTCAGTTAGACAAAACACCCCAATACCATACTGAGAACCAAATGCTAAGGTCCTTTGTAAAACTGCTTTCTTTCCAGTCTCTCCAACTACTTTTCTAGCTGCAGAAAACTATGATTGGAGTGGATAGGGTCAATTGGGAAGGGTGGAACCCTTATGACATTGCGTAACCGATAGCAACCTAAGGAAACTTAGGGCGACTTAAGGTGACTTTAGGCAACTTTAGGCGACTTTAGCTGGGCGACTTAAGGCGAATTAAGGTCTCAGAGTAGGCCTAAGGCGACCTGAGTATTATATGAGTAATCCAAAAAAGAAGTCCATAACTACATCAAAAAACACGGCTCGTCTTTATAAATAGCCCGCATAATTGTCTGAGACAATAAAAGCGTCTACTAATATTTCAATGAAATGAATCATAGCTTTGAATAGTCAAACTGTTAATCATGTCAAACATTCAGTTAATCAAGGAAGAGCTTTTAAGAGGAGATAAACCAGAGTGTAGAGTACATAATCGAGTTAATTTTTTCAGCTCATTGTGGTGTGTGCAAAATGAAATGTAGAGTGAATTTTTAATCACTTTGCCATAGTAACATGAACAACTTGCCGCACGCCAGAAACTGAAACCAATGAGCATTACTTATACAAAGAGAACTGTATATTATCACCTGTCCAAATCATCCTCGGGTTTGCCTTTCCCACCAATTCCACACCAGCAGCCATAACCATTGAAATCAATGGGATTTCTTTTAGTAACGCGCAAAATCATCAAGCCAAAGGAAATACCACCTCTCTTGGTCGCATTTGCACTTTCCTCTTCATTTAAAAAACACAGATTATACATAAATTTGAGATGGGAATAGAGTTAAGTTAAAGAGATTTGCTCATAAATCAGGTGATCACATACATACCTTGGATGCCGGATATCGAAGTGGTATTCGGCAAAGCAACGACTCCCAAAGCAATTAAAATTGCGTTTGTGAGGTTTCATTTATATGGGTATATTTGAAACAATCACAAATATGCTGGGCAGAGAGGAACAATAAGCCAAACGACTTAAGGAAAAATTAGCTGACAAAGATTCAAGGCTTGGAAAAGTCTCAGAAGTGGTACATATGAAATCGATCATAATTTTATGACCTCATATTTCAAGTGTCAAACTAATACTCACAAATGGATAGCCAGTAAAGCAATTTCAAAAATTATATATAAGAGCGGAAACATTTTTTGGCTTCGCTTTCTAGTTACTGGTAGCACCCAACAGTATCAATGAGAACTAACAGACTCATGCCCGAGCGAGGTGTAAGTTCTTTACCTAGCCATCTTATCTTAAATTCAATCCCCTTATTCTGCATTGAGCAAATCTACGATTTTAAGCTGAAAATTTTTTCTTTTGTGTTAAACAAAACATCAAACCATTCCTCGGCATCTTTGGCCCGAGAATTTCGAATTTTTAAAGTTGAATTTCGCCTCTCTCAGCGAATTTAATTGCTTGGTGGTGACAAATTATGAATAAATCTCCTTGTCACGTTACTGCTTCACAGAGAGAGGGAGGGAAAGAGAGAGAGAAAGAGAGAGAGAGAGAGCGCAATGAGTGTGGGTCGCTACGTCAGATTTAGGAGAAATTCTCACCCAAGTAGGGAACCCAATTAAGACTAATTTTATTTGGGAGTCATTTAGACAAAGAGGAACACCTTTACGTTTAAACAAGTCCAGCAGGTGTTCCTCTTCCCAAAATAACTTGTAATCAATAAATTAACGAGGGCTTGAAAAGAGGGCTTGAGAAAAAAAACTTTATCAAATGCTAAGAAAAATTTGATTACTGTTACTTCAAAGCTCGGATTTCAGTAGAGCTCCCATTTATCCTAAACTTAGCAGCAGATATTCTCTTATGACAAAGAATTACTGCGACAGTAATCAAGAAATGGATTAAAAGATTATATTTTTAGGTATTCGTGACAGCCTCGGTATAATGAGCAAGACTATTGGCATATTCATTTGTAGGGTGACATTCACAAATAGGGAGCTTGAGGAGGGATGAGGAGGCTCTAACCTTTATCATAGATTTCTTTCTCTGTTTTTTGTCTTCTCCCAGTTATTCTATGTGACAGAGGAATTTAAGGAATTATCACGTAACCAATTCGAAACAAGCTAACAGCTGAAAGGTTAAAGAGATAGAAAAGCTAAGTATAGGAACATACCTAACTAAAGAAACTTACTGCCTGCGAACTGCTGCGTTCTTCTTCAAAAGGTGAAAAAGTTTTCACTCATTAGATTATTCCCCCAATTAACTTTTAATGATTACTTGATTACCAAATTATCAACTAGGAGGAATCTTGAAATTTACTTTTCTAGTCTTCTTTTGATTTTCACTTGTTTATGACAATTTTCTCCGATTGTTCAGTTAACCAGGTTGAAAGGTATTTGAAGGGCAGCACTTGACAGCCAAAAAAATTTGTGAAAAGGGTCTTTCCTTGAACAGGTCCACTTCTCGATCATCAGTCACCTTTTTTCATCATGCACCTGACAAATGGCTCATTCATCGAACGTCAAATAAATCTTCCTAGAGGCTGCAGCGTACGTGTTTGTCTCAGATAAAACTGCCTTTTTAGCATTAATGCAATTGGTATCACTAAATAAGGATACTACTTGTTTGTCATCAGGATGCAAAAAAGACAGGAATTGTACAGAAAGGTGACAATCAACTGATTTCGCTGAAAAATGAAAAGCAACAGGGCAACGGTAACTTCTTAACTTCTTTTGCTTGGTCATCAAGCTTTTGATTAAAGGCTTTTTCATTTCTTCGCTCAAGAGTTATTTAGCGTACTACCTTACTCTGAGAATCATTGGGAAAGTCCCTACCAAAACGTTCAAACAGGTGTATTTTTAATCGCCGATTAAGACCTCCCAACAATTTTCCCTAAAAAAAATTATTGTCATCTGTTAATAATTGACAAAATCAGAGAAACAGTACCAGCCAACTTTCTTATGCTCATCATAAATCACAGCGTTAGCATATTCAATGAATGCCATAACTAACCATGCATCTATTAATACATAAATATATTTGAACGCCACTTCCACATTTTAACCCTTTATTCAATTTTGTTGTACACATTCATGAATACGTTTGGGAACTGGAATCATTTAAGACTGCATCTTATTCTTCTTACGAAAGCGCAGTTCGCCACGTGAATCACAAATTTTGGGGTCATTCTCCGCGTATTCTGGATAATATTTGTTCCTCATGAAGCAATTGACGGCTTTAGTATTACACTTGCACAGTTCGTAACGACAGCGGCTTCTGACAGGCTCTGAAAGAATCAAAAGTATTGATGATGGTAGCAATTACAATGCTTATTATAATGACGATGACACAACTAACATCGAAATATTTAATGAAGAATTGTAAACTTTTTCAAATTACATCTTCGGGCCTTTAATCTTTTCAATTTGCAATGGAAGCCGCAATCAACGCCTTTGTAATAAGTGCGCCATAAGAGTCTCGTTTTTGACGTTTGGCCATTTTGCAAAAAACGTTTCTGCTGAAGCCTGATAGTGAATTCATTATTATCATTATATATTTGTAAGATTGCTACCTAGTCTCTTTCTCTTTCAAGTCACCATTCAATAGAGCTGGTTGGTTATATAATTAGCCATCCTGGTTAAGAGTTTTGAGCTTACCGCATTTGAGATTTTCTTTGCCTCCTTTCTTAGTCAATCTTACTGCGTAAGACATGTCAAACAGTGCTCCAAGTTTTCTGAAGGGGCAATACTTGGACTTCATATGTTTGCTGAGGCAGATATTGCGGATGCGGCAACAACTGAAAAACAAAATAGATGGTTTCATGTCTTTCGGTGTGTCTTTCTACTGAGTGCTACAAAACCAAAACCGTGTCATGCATCATTGTTAGGATAAAAAGTTTCGAGAATTTGTTCGAAACGATGAAGCTTACCATAGAATCTCTATGGCTCATTGAAAGAGCATCGGTTAGCGGACTCGGAGGTCTGAAATTCGACTTTTCATGAGGACTCAGAATTTTTTGTCCCACGCCCGTGCAAGACGAAATAACTTCTTTCTCTATTTCCTTAACGAGCTAAAGAATGTAACATCGTTCTAATCATTAGAACGATGGTAAATTCTTTAGCTTGGTAGGGAAGTTTTATTCACACAATAAGTCTTATTTAAGTTACATGAAGTTCTGTTCATACAATAAAAGATGCCACAAAGGGCCAATGGTGAATCATATGACATACATTTTAGGGGTCATTAGAGTAGGTAAACATTGATAGCCATGGTGATTGGTTGAGAACAGCACGGATTATAAGAACAATTGCAGGAGGAAGTAAAGCCAGACTATTGTACTCCTAAATTAGTCACGACCCTAAACTAAATATTGTTCCATCGAAACCAAGTCCAAATATGCAAATAGAGTTTCAAACTGACCATAGTCAAACGGAATGAATCATATTTTTTCACACCGCGGAGATTTCAACTGACCAACCTCAGCCAAAAGCCCTTGCTGCAGGGTGAACGAGCAAACGGAAAGATAAAAAAAGAAACATATACGTTTGATAAAGAGAAGAAAAAGCAAACAAAGTAATAAAAACAACATTGTATAATTCATCATTACTTGTCCACTTTGTCCATGATGTGCAAATTTCCATATCGAGGACGTAATCCAAATCGAGGACGTTTCCCACGTCTAAGATGTTTTCCAACCCTAGTATATTTTCCACCCCTAGGACGTTTTCCACCTCCAGGACGTTTTCCAACCCTAGTATGTTTTCCACCCCTAGGACGTTTTCCACCTCTAGGACGTTTTTCACCTTTAGGACGTTTTCCACCATTAGGACGTTTTCCACCTCTAGGACCTTTTCCACCTTTAGGACGTTTTCCACCTCTAGGACGTTTTCCACCTTTAGGACGTTTATCACCTTTAGGACGTTTTCCACCTTTAGGACGTTTATCACCTTTAGGACGTTTTCCGCCTTTAGGACGTTTATCACCTCTAGGATGTTTTCCACCTTTAGGACGTTTATCACCTTTAGGACGTTTTCCAACTTTAGTATGTTTTCCACCCCTAGGACGTTTTCCACCATTAGGACGTTTTCCACCTCCAGGACCTTTTCTACCTTTAGGACGTTTCCCACCTCTAGGACCTTTTCCTTTTCTCCTCTTGACTTGGTATAATATTTTATCGAGTAGAAAAAAGCGAAGAAAGCAAATAAGAATATTATGTATGTCACTTACTTGTGCAACTTACTCTGATGACTGGAAAAACCAATTCGCACCAAGTTTTGGCATTATGGAAAAGGATTCTTTCATAATTTTACAGCGCGTCAAAGGGCTTCAGGACTTAGCGGCAAATGAGCGAAATTGAAACTATCTTAATTGACCTTCAGCTCATGGTGTGTCGTTTGTTTGTGATCTCAAAATTCTACTTCATCTCAGCCTCAAGGTTTTATTAATTTGTTTTTTTTTTGGTTTTTCAAAAGATATAAGATTGCCAGTGGATATCTTGTTTCTAATCAATAGCAATATACGCTTCTCCAAAGTGGAGGACAAAATCAACAGTTTAAGGGGGTAATACAGGGGAAACTATATTATTCCGCTTAGTGTGAAAAAAAAACAACATTCTTGTTGAAAATCTGTGCGATGACTGCATAAAGAACCCTTATGCAACTCCAGGAAAAAAATAATTTGTGTTGTTGAATATTCAGTTGTTTTTATTTAGAGTTTTACTTTGAAGAGTTGTTTCCATGAAAAAAGATGAACAAAACTCAGCACACTTACACCGATTGTTTTTGGATGGGTCTGTCTTTGGGAAGTTAATAACGCTGGCTATAATTCATTAGATTTGTCATCGACGAATAATTAAATGACATGTATATGTATGGGACTTGGTTATTGGTTAGTGATACTTTTAAGTGTGTAAGCAATTCATTTCGATCAGAATTGTAATTTCCTCACCTAAAACATCTGACGTTTCTTCCACTTCCTCACCAGACTCAGCTTCTAAGTCGTTGGTTTCGTTTTCATACTGTTCAAAATCTTTAAAAAGAGAATTTACAGTTATAGTAACAGCTACAGTAGAATGGGGATCCCTCCTAGGGAGGGTTACAAAACATATACATTGACGCAAGTAGTAAATTATGCCAGTTTAAAACGTACCTTAGAAACAACGAATGCCTTGAGAAATGGCGCCACACCGGAAAAAAATCCCAAATATTAATCATTTCATTGATGGCCATTAGTTATCAGGAGATGAAGAGGATGCTTTGAACGCCAAAAAAACAACGAGAACAATTTTATTTGGCCAACATAAATCAAGTGTTGTGTTTAAAATGCAGTTTAACTGAGTGGTCAGTTGAGCAAATTTTTTGCGCAGGTTTTTGACCAATCAGGGCGCTCGTAGTTTCTCCGCTCTTTTTCAAGAAAATGGCATTTACCGGTTAAACAAACACTGGGTGGCTCTTTGTCAGGTCGAAATTGGAAAAGGGAGTGTTGGTTCATCAACGTAAGATTGAATAGCGAAGTAGTTTTACTCCCCGAGCAGCCGAATTAGAGAGACTTTAAATGCTTACGGCTCATGAACATGCAATGATGTTGGAAGTAACGCCATCAGCCAACAAGTGGACATCTTTCTATAGTTATTATAAATTTCAGCAATGGTCTTTGTTTTTATGCTGAGAAATACAATATAGAAGGAATGAAGGGGAACAAAGAAAGCTGTAACCTTTCGTATCAATTTTCTTGTGATCATTATGTAACTTTACCTGTACCTAGTTGGTTTTCATCAATCAAAACCGGCTCTGTGTCTTCATCTGCGTCTTCACTCTCTTCCTCAGCGCTTCCAACTACCGTCTGGTCAGGATTTATCTCTACATACCGAGAAAAGTAAACCAATAATCAGAAATACATCAAGGCAGGTGGTTTCTTGTAGGGTTCTCATGGGATAGCTGGTAATTAAATTGAATTAAGATTTGAAACAACGTGGCATGTTTCCTAATCGAGAGATATCGTCATTACCAACATAAACCTTGCTGTCAGCTTAGTTGGATGCTAGGGTAGCAAAGAAAAGTGTAGAGTACTTTACATTCCGACGGGGTAACGGAAGTGGCACCTTACCTTCAAGATCGAGGCCAGATTCACCAAAGGCACTTTTCACATGGACGGCTCCGAAGAGCAAGAGTATCACAAAAAATAACTTGATTGTCATTGTAACTCTGCAATGCGATTGGCTATATATTAGTTTAAAGTCAATTTGAAGAACAATCATTTTTTTTTTTGCAATCACCTAACATGACAACAGACTGACTGAAAGACTATTGGCTTTCTTTGAAAAGCTGACTCGTTCCTTTACACACACGATACACTATGAACACTTTTGCTAGACAATAACTTATTGATAGAGAAAACATTTATGGTCAAATCGAAGGAGTAAGTAATCTTTTGTGATTCATTCCCTTCGTTTCTGTAAGATAACCCTCATTCCTGGTTTACCTAACACACTAACCACTGATAAACCAAATGAGAAATTATTCTTGGACGTATTTAATTATCATTGATCTTGCCGCACAACACGCAGTTAAGCCTGGGCTGTACCAGTATTTGTCAGGCGGACACGTTAGTCTACAGTGTATATCATGACACTTTTGTGGTTTGCTTCAGTCTAGATGTTCTTGCTCCTTAGTGCATAAGGATCTTTATCGTATGAAAATAAAAACGGACAAAAACTAAACGTTTTCTACATAATATGTTCGAATTTAATACGCATTCGATAAAATTGAAGTGTGAAAGGTTCAGAAAAAAATGAGTAGTGAATTTTCTAACGATAACTTAGTTTTTCCCATAGTATTATGTGAGTTCAATTAGAACTATAACTGCAAATAAAATAAAAAAAAAAAAATTCCAAAGAAATTAACATTCATCCAAAAATGTGTCAATCTTTGAATTGATTTCGACTTCTTGAGATGGTAGCTGTAAATATATAACTCAAACGTTGAAATATGAATTATATGGACTATATGCAATCGTACAGGGTGCCAAAGGCGAAAAGCATAACTTACCTCTTAGGAGAATCTGTTTGAATGAGAAACTGTGTCAAATTTCCTGAATTAAATCATGAATTCTTGACCTCGTCCTGTAACCTTTAGTAATAATTAATTGGTCAGGTTGTAAAAAAGCTGTTTCTACAGTTTCCTATAAACAGCTACCTGGTATCTGCATTAATCGGCCACATGTTAATGACAGAACATCATGGTCGCAAACAAGCGTAGAATACGATATCGACTTATGGAAAGAAGAACAAAGAAACATGATGCATTTATTCAAGGGTAGTCACATCGTTCTAAGTTAAAGATTGGTAAGCAGTGACATGTGCTTAAGCGTACATAGAAAAGACGTGGGAAACGTCTATAATACTGCTTCTTGTAGTTCCCAAACAATCTAAAAAAGTTATTAACAAACCAAAGGAATGATAAGTAAAACACCACCCTAATTAAGTTAACTTGAGGTTTGATTATAGTAGTGACTTGATGGAATAGAGCCAGGGTGTGGCAAACTTAATGAAATTTTTTTTTGTTTAAGATTGAAATACAACCTTCTGACTTGCAATAAATATGGAATAATTTTTAATGTCTTTAAAGGCCCATTTCCAACCTTGATGCAACGCGGTCGTTTGTTTTTTTTTGAACCACCACTTTTGTTTAAATAGCGCCTCTGATCGGTCAGTTAACTTTACTTGTCACCTCAAAATACCTTCTGCGTTTTCTCCGCTGAATTTTTGAAGAGTTTATTTAAATAATTCTTTTTAAAACAGTTCTATACGTTTTAATCCAGTATGTTATTAGATGAATCCATTGATTTTGTCGATTTTCCGAGACAGTAAACCCTTATGGATCGGTTATTGCTAAAGAGGAACGCGAAAATCCTTGCGAGCATTTCGAAGAAGGTGAAAATGTTGATCCACCACGTTTTCATTCATTCATCAGTTGTTTTTTAATTGAAGTTTGCCATCCTTGTTAAATAGGACCAAGGGTCAGCTGAAGTTTCCGACCCGTGGAGAGCAACTTGCGCTCGAAAGAGTGGTCAAGGTTGTTGTCCATGCAAAGCAGCAAATAAGAATTGTAACGCAAACTGTCATTGTCGTTGACGTTCCCGCAGTGAAGTGACTAAACTTAAAATAATTAAACGTCCGGCAGTCCGGTATTTTTCCATATTTCTCTTCGAAATCCAAAAAATATTTATACGAAAATGTTCTACCTTTTTTTACAATCCTCAAGCGCTTCCAGGCGGCCTAAAATTTCGAACTTGATGTTTTTCGCTGACCCTGTATACAGAGTACGAAGCCATCCAAGCACTTGACACTTAAAAACTTTTCAATGACACGGCTGGACACGGTCCTCAAATAACTCCATATTTCTCTTTGAAATATACCAATTTTTCGTTGGAAAATATTCTACCTTCATTTTCAATCCTCAAGTGCTTCTAGAAAGTGAAAAAATTCCAGCGTTGTCCGTTTCGCTGACCCTTGTACACAGAGTGCGAAGAGATTCAAGCGTGACACTAAGAAAATTTTCACCGGGCAGTCTAACATTTTTCCATATTTCTCTTTGAAAAATATTAATTTCTATTGGAAATATTTTATCTTGATTTAGAATCCTCAAGTGCATCTAGAAAGTGAAAAAATTTGAACGTTGTCCTTTTCGCCGACTCTGTTCACAGAGTAAGTACGAAGAGATCCAAGCGTGACACTTTAAAAAAAATTTTCTTCGGATTCTTCCAGACAAAATTCAAAATACTGCAAGGAAACTGTAAAATGACGAACGGCAAATGTATTTACCGTAACACAGTTGACTATATGTCCTGGATGGCTCTTGAGAAAGACGATTTTAGAAGGTTATCAACGATCTGGGAATTTCGTGGGCCGCGGCGCGCGTTGCATCAAGGTTGCAAATGGCCTTTAAACAATTCAGTCAACCAAAGCCAGTTATATTGTCAAGTAAGTGTCTCCCATTCATCAAAGCTGAAATTGGTCAGGAATCAGTGAAAGGATATTGCCTTCCTGGTAAGGTTTAACGTGAAACAAAACTTCGTCTTCTGACATGCAGATAGAAACTTATCCAGGCTGAAAAATGTGTACAGACACGTTCCTTCCCGTGTCAATTATAAATCCCTTACACAAGTGTTTTTCATCGTTTGATAAAGATAATAACGGAAAACATAATTTTCAAGAGATTTTGATGTTCATCATGAGGTTGATGTTTATTATCTTTTCCTTAATATACACTTCCGATTGATTTGATACATCCAAAACAGAAATACGTAACACTCATTTTTAAATAATTGATGACAGGTGCCCTCCGTTGAGTTTATGTTTAGTTTAAGTTAAATTTTCTACTCTTCTTTTGATTTTCACTTGTTTATTGACAATGTTCTCTGACTGTTCAGTTCACCAAGTTGAGAGGTGTTTGGGGGGCAGCACTCGACAGCCACACGAATTTGTGAAAGAGGTCTCCCCTTAGACAGGTCCGCTTCTCGATCATCAGTTACCTTTTTTCATTATCCACCTGACAAATAGCACATTCATCGAACGCCAAAATAAATCTTCTTAGAGGCTGCAGTGTAGTATTTGTCTCGGGTAAAACTTCCTTGAATAAGGAATAACTTGTTTGTCATCAGGATGAAAAAAAGACAGTAACTGTACAGAAGGGTGACAATCAACTAATTTCATTGAAAAGTGACAGGGCAATGGTAACTTCTTAACTTCTTATGCTTGGTCATCAAGCTTTTGATTAGGACTTTTTTCGTGTATTCGCTCGAGAATTATTGAGCGTGCTACCTTAATCTGAGAATCATTGGGAAAGTCCCTACAAAAACGTTGAAACAGGTGTATTTTTAATCACCAATTGAGACCTCCTGATGATTTTCCTTTAAAAAAATTATTGTCATCTGTTAAACTTCTTACGGTAACAAAATCAGAGAAATCGTACCAGCTGACTTTCTTAAGCTCGTCATAAATCAGAGCGCTAGCATATTCAATGTATGCCATAATTAACCATGCATCTATTAATACATAAATATATTTGAACGCCACTTCCACACTTTAACCCTTTATTGAATTTTGTTCTACACAGTCGTGAATACTTTTGGGAACTGGAATCATTTAAGACCGCATCTTCGTCTTACCAAAGCGAAGCTAGCCACGTGAACGACACATTTTGGGTTTAATCTCCGCGTACTTTTGACGATATTTGTTCCTCACAAAGCAATTGACAGCTTCAGTATTACACTTGCACAGTTCTTTACGACAGCGATCATAACTTCGGTATTTGAAAGACGCTGAAAGAATAAAAAAGTATTGACGATGATAGCAATAACGATGCTTATTATGATGACGATGACATAACTAACAACTAAATATTCAATGTAGAATTGAAAACTTTTTCAAATTACATCCTCGGGCCTTTAACCTTATCAACTTGCAATGGAAGCCGCAATCAACGCCTTTGTAATAAGTTCGTCATAAGAGTCTCACTTTTGACATTTGACCGTTTTACAAAAACGTTTCTGCTGAAGCCTGATAGTGAATTCATTATTATCATCATATATTTGAAAGATTTCTGCGTAAAAAATTTAGGTAAAAAGTCTCTTTCTCTACCAAGTCAATAGAGCCGGTTGGTTATCTAATTAGCCATCCTAGGTGGGAGTTTTGAGCTTACCGCATTTGAAAATTTTTTTTCCTCCACTCTTGGTCAATCCTGCTAAGTAAGGTATGTCAAATGGTGCTCCAATTTTTTTGAACGGGCAATACTTAGACTTCGTAAGTTTACCGAGGCAGATATTGCGGATGCGGCAACAACTGGAAAACAAAATAGATGGTTTCATGTCTTTCTACTGAGTGCTACAAAACCAAAACCGTGTCATGCATATTTGTTTGGATAAACAGTTTCGAGAATTTGTTGAATGTGGATCTCGAAACGACGAAGCTTACCATAGAGTCTCTATGGCTCATTGAAAGAGCGTCAGCTATCGGACCCGGAGCCGAGTCTGACATTCGATATTTCGTGTGGACTTGGAATATTTGTCCCACGCCCGTGGCAAAACGAAATAACATCTTTCTCTATTTCCCTACCGAGTTAAAGGATCGCTCGGTAGGGAAGTTCTATCCATACATTAAGTTCTATATAAGTTGTATAACGTTCTATTCTCACAATAAAAGATACCACCAAGGGCCAACGGTGAATCATGTGACATAGGTAAACATTGATAGCCTGGTGATTGTTTGAGTGAACGGCACGCATTGTCAGAACAATTGCAGGGGGAAGTAAAGCCAGACTATTGTAATCCTAGATTAATCACGAACCTCAAATCAATATTATTCCATTAAAACCAAGTCCAAATATGCAAATAGAGTTTCAAACTGACCATAATCAAACGGAATGAATCATATTTTTTCATACCGCGGAGATTTCGACTGACCAACCTCAACGTTTCATGGTCGTTGATAACCCAATAGCCCTTGCTATAGGGCGAACGAGCTAACGGATAGATTAAAAAGCAACATATACGTTTGACAAAGAGAAGAAAAAGCAAACCAAAGTAATACAACAACATTGCATTATTCATTTACTTATCTACTTTGCCCATGACGCGCAATCTTCTATATCGAGGACGTTTTCCACCTCTAGGACCTTTTCGAAGTCTACGTCTACAATGACAGCCATAATCTTTGTAGTCAGAGGGATGTCTGCCAGTGCCCAGGAAAATCATCAACTCGTAGGATACAAAACCCCTTCTGAACCTCGTTTTCCCTTTATCTTCTGTTTTGAAAAACAATTTATTTTATTGTTGTCACACATCTAGATACACACTGTTCCTTTCCATGAAGTTCTCTGTGTGGGGAGATAAGGCTTATTCTTATTTTTGCAATTGTTTTGAGGAGAAAATTATGGGAAAATTTCCACTTGACTCGGTATTATATTTTATCGAGTAGAAAAAAAGTGATAAAAGTAAATACGAACATTATGTGTGTCACTTACTTGTGCAACTTACTCTGATGACTGGAAAAACCAGTTCGCACCAAGTTTGGCATTATGAAAAAGGATTCCTTCATACTTTTACAGCGCAATAAAGAGCTTAATGACTTTGCGGCATTTGAGCGAAATTGAAACGATCTTAACTGACTTTTAGCTCATAGTGTGTCATTTGTTTGTGATCTCAAAATCCTAGTTCCTCTCAGCCTCAAGGTATTCTTTGTTTGTCTTTTGTTTTTCGAAAAAACAAAAAGATTTTTCAAAGGAGGAAATGGGGGGAGGGGGGTAGGTTGGGTAAAGATATAAGATTGCCAGTGGATATCTTGTTTTTAATCTAAAGCAATCTGCCCTTCTCCAAAGTGGAGGACGAAATCAACAATTTATTAAGAGGGTAATACACGGGAAACTATATTATTCCGCCTAGTGTGAAAAAAAAATCAGCATTCTGGTTGAAAATCTGTGCGATGACTGCATAAAGAACCCTTATGTAGCTAATAGCGATGAATAATTTAATGACATGTATATGTATGGACTTGGTTATTGGTTAGTGATACTTTTAAGTGTGAAAGCAATTCATTTCGATCAGAATTGTAATATCCTCACCTAAAACATCTGACGTTTCTTCCACTTCCTCACCGGACTCAGCTTCTAAGACGTTGGTTTCGTTTTCATACTGATCAAGATCTTTAAAAAGAGAATTCACAGTTATAGTAACAGTTACAGTAGAATTGGGGATCCCTCGGAGGAATGCTTACAAAGTACGAACATAGACGCAAAGAGTAAATTATGCCGGGTTTATAACGTACCATATACTCAACGAATGCCCCGAGAAATGGTGCCACACGGGAAAAAAATTCCCAAATATTAATCATTTCATTGATGGCCATTAGTTATGAGGAAACGAAGGGGATGCTTTGAACGCCGAAAACAATAAGAACAATTTTATTTGGCTAACATAAATCAAATTTTGTGTTTAAAATGCAATTTAACTAAGTGGTCAGTTGCGCAAGTTTTTTGCGCAGGTTTTTGATCAATCAGGACGCTCGTAGTATCTCTACTCTTTTTCAAGAAAATAGCATTTACCTGTTAAACAAAGAGAGTGTTGTTTCATCAACGTATGACTGAATAGCGAAATTGCCGGGAAATTGTTTTCACCACACACTTATCTTGTATTATCCTCTTAAAGGAGCTATTTGTTTTGACGAAGTAGTTTTGTTGTACACTGATAGCCGAGAATGTTGACAGTTAAATTTCCCTCATGTGATGAAGTTCTTGTAGTTTCTTGACCAAACATTCCGCCAAAATTATCAATCTATGGCTCAAATAGCATACTTTTTGGTATATTTTGCTAAATGGAAGCTAAAAGTGCCGAAGACAATAATCATTGCAATGTGTTTTGTCGGAAATTGGTACCGGTCGGAAACTAAAAAAAAAAGTTTAATAAATGTTTTAACTAATGAAACTCCATGAGCAGCCGAATTAGTGAG